ACTTGAAACTGTGTATGAAGTCAGCCTCCACCACATCACTTCCTAATGCATTCCATTTGTCAACCACTCTGACACTAAAAAAGTTTTTTTCTAATATCTCTGTGGCTCATTTGGGCACTCAGTTTCCACCTGTGTCCCCTAGTGCGTGTGTTCCTTGTGTTAAATAGACTGTCTTTATCTACCCTATCAATTCCCTTGAGAGTCTTGAATGTGGTGATCATGTCCCCCCCAACTCTTCTGCCTTCCAGCGAAGTGAGGTTTAATTCCCGTAGTCTCTCCTCGTAGCTCATACCTCTCAGCTCGGATACTAATCTGGTGGCAAACCTTTGAAACTTTTCCAGTTTGGTCTTGTCCTTGACTAGATATGGACTCTATGCTGGGGCTGCATACTCCAGGATTGGCCTAACATATGTGGTATACAAAGTTCTGAATGATTTCTTACACAAGTTTCTGAATGCCGTTCTTATGTTGGCCAGCCTGGCATATGCCGCTGATGTTATCCTTTTGATATGGGCTACAGGATACAGGCCTGGCGTGATATCAACCCCCAAGTCTTTTTCTTTCTCTGACTCTTGAAGTATTTCATCTCCCAGATGTACCTTGTATCATCTAAGAGATGATACAAGGTACCACCTATCTTCCTACACCTATCTTCATTACATTACATTTGCTTGGGTAACTAGACTCTAACAACCATTTGTTTGACCATTCCTTCGGCTTGTCTAGGTCTTCTTGAAGCCTCAAGCAGTCCTCCTCTGTCTTAATCCTTCTCATAATTTTGGCATCGTCAGCAAACATTGAGAGAAATGAATCTATACCCTCTCGGAGATCATTTTCATATATCAGAAACAAGATAGGAACGAGTACAAAGCCCTGTGGGAGTCCACTGGTGACTTCACGCCAATCTGAGGTCTCACCCCTTACCGTAACTCTCTGCTTCCTATTGCTCAGGTACTCCCTTATCCACTGGAGCACCTTACCAGCTACACCTGCCTGTCTCTCCAGCTTATGTACCAGCCTCTTATGCGGTACTGTGTCAAAGGCTTTCCGACAATCCAAGAAAATTAAGTCCGCCCAGCCTTCTCTTTCTTGCTTAATCTTTGTCACCTGGTCGTAGAATTCTATTAAGCCAGTCAGGCAAAATTTACCCTTCCTGAATCCATGTTGGCGATTTGTCACGAAATCCCTTTTCTCCAGATGTGTTACCAGGTTTGTTCTCACGATCTTCTCCATCACCTTTCATGGTATACAAGTCAAGGACACTGGCCTGTAGTTCAGTGCCTCTTGGCTGTCACCCTTTTTGTATATTGGGACCACATTCGCCGTCTTCCATATTTCTGGTAGGTCTCCCGTCTCCAGTGACCTACTACACTATGGAGAGTGGCAAGCAAAGTGCCTCTGCACACTCTTTCAGTACCCATGGCGAAATCCCGTCTGGACCAACAGCCTTTCTAACATCCAGATCCAGCAGGTGTCTCTTGACCTCCTCTCGCGTAATTTTGAACCCTTCCGAGGCCGCCTGGTTTACCTCCCTTTCTGACCTCACCTTGTTCTATTGTGAAGACTTTCTGGAACCTCTTGATGAGTTCTTCACACACCTCTTTGTCATTCTATGTATACCTGTCATCGCCCGTTCTAAGTTTCAATACATGTTCTTTCACTGTTGTTTTCCTTCTGATGTGACTGTGGAGTAGTTTTGTTTCGGTCTTGGCTTTGTTTGCTATGTCATTTTCATAACTTTTCTCTGCTTCTCTTCTCTTCTTACCCTGACATACTCATTCCTGGTTCTCTGGTATCTCTCTCTGCTTTCTGGTGTTCTGTTATTCCGGAAGTTCCTCCACGCCCTTTTGTTCAGTTTCTTTTGTTTCAGTTCACACTTTTGTGTGTGTGTGTGTGTGTGTGTGTGTGTGTGTGTGTGTGTGTGTGTGTGTGTGTGTGTGTGTGTGTGTGTGTGTGTGTGTGTGTGTGTGTGTGTGTGTGTGTGTGTGTGTGTGTGTGTGTGTGTGTGTGTGTGTGTGTGTGTGTGTGTGTGTGTGTGTGTGTGTGTGTGTGTGTGTGTGTGTGTGTGTGTGTGTGTGTGTGTGTGTGTGTGTGTGTGTGTGTGTTGTATGTAGTTGTGTGTGTGTGTGTGTGTGTGTGTGTGTGTGTGTGTGTGTCATTCACCTAGTTGTATTCACCTAGTTGTGCTTGCGGGGGTTGAGCTTTGCTCTTTCGGCCCGCCACTCAACTGTCAATCAACTGTTTACTAACTACTTTTTTTTGTGTGTGTGGTGTGTGGGAAAAAAAAAAAAAAAAAAGTAGTTAGTAAACACACCACACCACCCCCGTAAACCACAACTAGTAAACACAACTAGTACACACACACACACCAGGAAGCAGCCCGTGACAGCTAACTAACTCCCAGGTACCTATTTACTGCTATGTAACAGGGGCATTCAGGGTGAAAGAAAGTTTTCCCATTTGTTTCTGCCTCGTGCGAGAATCAAACCTGCGCCACAGAATTACGAGTTTTGCGCGCTATCCACCAGGCTACGATGCTCCCTACCAGGCTACCTGGCCCCTCGTAGTGTAATTACCTAAGTGTAATTATCTAAGTGTAATTACAGGATGAGAGCTACGCTCGTGGTGTCCCGTCTTCCCAGCACTCTTTATCATATAACGGTTTGAAACTACTGACGGTCTTGGCCTCCACCACCTCCTACCCTAACTTGTTCCAACCGTCTACCACGTGTGTGTGTGTGTGTGTGTGTGTGTGTGTGTATGTGTGTGTGTCTGTGTGTGTATGTGTGTACTTACCTAGTTGTGCTTAGGGGGAGAGCTCTTGCTTCTTGGTCGCGTCTCAATGTGAATGTTTCAGTATGTTTCAGAGTATGGATGGGTTTCCTAATGTATGCGTGTGTGTGTGATTGATAGTGGGTAGTGTTTATTTGGGTGAGGGTGGTGCCTTTAGTTTACAGCAGGGGGGGGGGAGTGTGGAGATCTAGGGGATAAGCAGCTTATCCGGTTCCCAAGTGAGCCCACAATTGAGGTCCTTGCCTCCTGACTACCAAGTTTGACAATTGTGTGCGTGTACTCACCTATTTGAGCTTGCGGTGGTTGATCTTTGGCTCTTTGGTCCCGCCTCTCAACAGTCAACCAACTGGTGTACAGATTCCTGAGCCTACTGGACTCTATCATACCTACATTTAAGACTGTGTATGGAGTCAGCCTCCAGCACATCACTGTCTAATGCATTCCACCTGTTAACTACTCTGACACTGAAAAAGTTCTTTCTAACGTTCCTGTGGCTCATTTGGGAACTCAGTTTCCACCTGTGTCCCCTTGTTCGAGTACCATCAGTGTTGAATAGTTTATCCTTGTCTATCCTGTCAATACTCCTGAGGATTTTGTAGGTAGTGATCATGTCTCCCCTTTCTCTTCTGTCTTCTAGTGTCGTAAGGTGCATCTCTCGCAGGCTTTCCTCGTAACTTATGCCTCTTAGTTCCGGGACTAGTCTTGTGGAATACCTCTGAACTTTTTCCAGCTTCGTCTTGTGTTTGACAGGGTACGGGCTCCATACTGGGGCCGCATACTCCAGGATTGGTCTTACATATGTGGTATACAAGATTCTGAATGATTCCTTACACAGGTTCCTGAATGCTGCTCTGATGTTAGCCAGCCTCGCATATGCCACAGACGTAATTCTTTTTATGTGGGCTTCAGGAAACAGGTTTGATGTGATATCAACCCCTAGATCTTTCTCTCTGGCCGTTTCATGAAGTACTTCATCTCCTATTCTGTATCCTGTGTCTGGCCTTCTGTTTCCGCCGCCTTGTATCATTACTTTGCATTTACTTGGTTTGAACTTGAGCAGCCATTTGTTGGACCATTCATTCATTCTGTCTAGGCTATCTTGCAGCCTCCTACTGTCCTCCTCTGTTTCAGTCCTCCTCATAATTTTTGCGTCCTGAGCAAACATTGAGAGAAACGAGTCTATACTCTCTGGGAGATCATTTAAATATATCAGAAACATTATAGGTCCAAGGACTGACCCCTGCGGGACTTCACTTGTGACGTCTCGCCAATGTGAGACCTCACCCCTCACAGTGACTCATTGTCTTCTGTTGCTTAGGTACTCCCTTATCCAATGGAGTACCTTCCCATTCAATCCTGTCTGCATCTCCAGCTTTTTCACTAGCCTCCTATGTGGTACTGTATCAAAGGCTTTCTGGGCAATCCAAAAATATGCAATCTGCCCATCCCTATCTTTTTTGCGTGATTTTTGTTGCCTGGTCGTAGAATTCAATTAACCCTGTGAGGCAGGACTTGCCACCCTTCAACCCATGTTGATGTTGTGTTACAAAATTCCTTCTCAATTGAGAATACAAAAATCAATACAATACAATACAAAAATCCTTCTCAAGTTCCTTCGTCGATTGTGACAATCGACTTGAGAATGGTCAAGGACGGACCGAAACGTCGTCATCCCTTCACCTTCTAATGAGTGGTCTGGTCAACCTTATCACTACCGTAAACTCCATAGTCGTCAATACCATATGCACCATAATCATCACTAACATATGCACCATACTCATCACAACTATATGCAGCATAGTCATCACTAGCATATGCACAATAGTCATCACTGCCATATGCACATACTAATCACTACCATATGCACCATATTCATTACTGCCATATGCACCATATTCATTACTGCCATATGCAATATGGTCATCACTACTATATGCACCAAACACGTCACTAACATATGCACCATTCTCATCGCTAACATATGAATCCTACTCATAACTACCATATGCACCATAATCATCACTACCATATACATAATACTCATTGCTACCATATGCACCATGGTCATCACTATCATATACACCATAGTCATCACTACCATTTGCAACATGGTCATCACTACCATTTGCAACATGGCCATCACTACCATATGCAACATGGTCATCACTACCATATGCAACATGGTCATCACTACCATTAGCACTCATGTCATCCCAATCATATGCAACATAGCAGGCAGCCCATCAGGCTCAGGAGACTATGGAGTTGCGCTCTGGTTGTTCACGTGCATTATATTCATCACTACCACATTGAGCAAAGTCATTACTACCATGTGCACCATACTTATGTATACCATATGCACCATATTCATCACTTCCATAAGCACCATAGTCATAACTACTATATGCACCATACTCATCACTTTCATATGGAACATAATCAATGCTACCATATTCACCATAAACTCCACTATCATATGCACCATGCTCATCACTACCATATGCACCATACTCATCATTACCATTAGCACAATAGTCATCACTACCCCATTTAGATTACTCTGTTCAGTTTTGGTCGCCGTATTATTGAATGGATATAAACTCGCAAGAACGTGTCCAGCGTAGGATGACAAAGTTAATCCCCCAAATTAGAAACCTGTCATATGAAGAAAAATTGACAAAGCTTAAATTACAATCTCTTAAAAGGCGAAGAATTAGGGCTGACATGATTGAGGTGTAAAAGTGGTTGAATAGACATAACAAAAGAGATATTAATAAGGTTTTAAAAGTATCAACATAAGACAGAACATGAAGCAATGAGTATAAATTGGATAAGCTTAGATTTAGGATAGGAGCTCCTAAATCTATATATTCGCACTCATTACTTTCCTATAAAGTATTGAGTTCAGTAGTAATCTACCGTACTCATTACTACCCTCTTTACTATATCTCTAGCTACTGTATTATTTGAAGCTTTTGAGAATGAGATTGGGTGGAGATAAAGTTGCTGCTCTGGATGGGCCAATAGGCTTTCTGCAGTTATCTTCATTTATATGTTCTTACGTCACGTTAATGATTTCTGTGTGCATACTCATGATTACCATATGCATCATGCTTATCACTTCAAGTTGCCATATTCAATACTATCCCTCTTTGCCATATCTCTAACTACAGTATTTTTTTAAACATCAACATAATTTTCATTCTTATAATTCACATCATCTGAACTAACTAAATTTCGAGATCTTTGATTGTGTTATGTATTTGGAGGTATGAGCAACCAAAGCCAAGTAAACATTACACATTTACATTCCTCATTACACATAAATATTACACGTTTACATTTGTCCAAGTAAACATAAACATGGCTGCTCGAGATCGCTAGGATGAAGAGTTCCTCAAACGGTTCCTGGAGTCTCAAAGGAGGTATGCGGGTAGGGAAGCCTTTGAGAAATTTGTAATGGAAAATATTATTTTCACCAATGACCCCATTGACTTGATCTTCCGTCATGACGTAATCATGCATCACTTACATTACTGCTTTGTGAACAAAGAACATGCGGCAGAAGCCGTCGACTTCGGAATGTAGCTTAGTGCAACCGGCGTGGCTGTGAAGAGGTTGGGTGCCAAGTACGGTAATCAGTACGCTTTCCAAGGCTTGGCCTGGCTGGATGCAAAAGATAAGATGGTTTACAAGCCTCAGGCCAAGAGGAAATTGCCTCTTGTAAATGGTCTTGAAAAAAAGCGGAAAAAAAAGGTCGGCGCTAGAGCCTCAGGCAAGAAAGCCCGTGATGACCGAAGAAGGAATAAAGCCGAGACTCATGATATGAAACCAGACTTTGCACCTCAATCTCAGTCACAGTCACGTGACTCTGGACACAATACGATGAATGTGTCTGGAGTTGGTCTGGATATTGGTCCTCAGTAGGAAACATACATGTAATCAAATCATCCAAGCAGTGAAGAGGATTTTATGTCGCTTATGGATGACTTGCTTGGAGACTCAACTGAATAATGTTTATCACCAGTTCAGCCAGACAATTATCCTGCATACGAAACTCAAACTTCTTCAAATCCTCCAAGTACTGATGATGATTTTATGTCCCTACTGGATTTTATTTATGAGGACGGACATTAACAATGTTCATCTTCATCTCAGCAATTACAACATCCAGGACAGGAATTACAGGGACTTTCAACTCCTTTAAGCATTGAGGACGAGATAATTTCGCTTTTGTATGACTAATACTCTGATTAATATACATGAACCTAAAAAACGTTAAGATGGTTTACTCCACCAACATTCCTGAACCAGTGTCGGAACCATTCCTTACCGCCTGGGAACCATCAAAACTTTTACTTTTTTTGGGGGTCTCTTTATTTCGAATCTGAAGCTCAACCATACGTACACGTACTCTCAGTTCCGACACCACCACCACCAAAACTACTGTGTATATTGACCACCAGAACTACTGATCTGGTGGTCAGTATTTGGTGAATATTTGATTAATTCCAGGAGACGGAGAATGACTATCAGCCATCAGACTACGCCTACGATGTCTATAATGATCTTTACGATTTTTTTGTCTGAGATATTTTCACTTTAATCAGTACCACCCTCACGTGACGAACCATCTTCACTACAACCAGAACCACCTTCACCACAGCCAGAACCATATTCACCACAACCAGGAACAATCTTAATCTCAACCAGAACCATCTTCACCGCAACCAGAACCATTCTCACCCAAACTAGAACCATCTTAATCTCAACCAGAACCATCTTCATTGCAACCAGAACCATATTTACCAAAAACAGAACCGACTTTATCTCAACCAGAACCATCTTTATCTTAACAAAAACGAACTACACCATAACCATAACCTTCTTCACCACAGTGAGAACCGTCTTCGCTAAAGCCAGAACTATCCACAAGTCACCACAGTCATAGCAGCCTTCACCATCAATGTAGCCAAAACCAAAGCCTGCATAGACAAATAAACCCCGTAATTGATACCATTATTGATAATATGTTAACTACGCCTCCTCCCTCTCCTATCTCTTGATAATACACTGATAGCCATCCACTTGGGCAATGTAGCCAAGCCATGTACATAGGCTCCCCGGCTTGGCACCGTCTTTTGATAATTACTTAATTGGACTAGTCAGGGCATGTGGATCTCACTTCTTGCAGGTCGGAGTCAAAACCCCTACGGTCCAAATGCTTTGGAACCGTTCTTTCCTTCTGTCTGTTACTGCTCTCTGCCCACATGTGCCCAATATAAAGACGTTATAAGTGCTTTCTCCTTATAATTACCATAACCTAAAATTATGATCCCAAATTATTATGTCTCCGGAGACCTACCATCATGATAGCCACTGAAGACTGACCTGTACACAGTCGTACTGGCTAAGATCCGTCTCATAATTGTCTTGCCTGCAAAATATATATATTAAAGGTAAGTCTAAAATTATAGAGGATTTAAATTTTTGTGTATGTAATTAATATCTTAAAAATCTATTCCAATATGAGATTTTAAGTAATTGAGGGTATTTAACAAAAATATTTGTCTAACGGTAAATATACTCTGTTAAAATACGGTGACATTGTTTAAATAAATAAAAATAGTGTGTGTGTGTGTGTGTGTGTGAGTACTCACCTAGTTGAACTCAACTAGTTGTCCTCATCTAGTTGTGCTCGTGGGGGTTCAGCTTTGGCTCTTTGGTCCTGCCTCTCAAATCGTGTATATGCTGGTGTACAGATCCCAGAGCCTCTCGAGATCCATCATATTTACATTTCAAACTGTGTATGGAGTCAGCCTCCACCACATCACTTCCTCGTGCATTCCATCTACTAGCTACTCTGACACTGAAAACTTCTTTCTAATGTCCCTGTGGCTCATTTAGGTACTCAGCTTTCGTCTGTGTTCCCTTGTACGAGTACCATCGTGTTAAATAATCCATTCTTGTCTACCATGTCAATTACCCTGAGAATTTTGTATGTGATCATGTCTCCCCAAGGTCTTGTCTTCCAGGGGACGTGAGATGCCGTTCAATCAGCCTTTCCTCGTAACTCATGCCCCTTAGTTCTGGGACTAGCCTAGTGGCATACCTCTGAACTTCTTCCAGCTTTGTCTTGTGCTTGAAAATGCACGGGCTCCATGCTGGGGCCACGTACTCCAGGATTGGTCTCACATATGCGGTATACAAGGTTCTGAAAGATTCCTTACTCAGGTTTCTTAAGGCAGTTCTGATGTTAGCTAGCCTCGCATACGCTGCCGATGTTATTCTTTTGATGTGGGCTTCAGGAGACAGGTTGGTGTGATATCAACTCCTAGATATTTATCTGTGTCCTTTTCGTGAATGACTTCATCTCCTGTTCTGTATCCAGTGGCTGGCCTCCTATTTCCACAACCTAGTTTTTTTACCTTTCATTTAAGTGGGTTAAACTTTAGAAGCCATTAGTTGGACCATTCCTTTAGTTTGTCTAGGTCATCTTGTAGCCTCTCACTCTCTTCCTTTTCCTTAATCCTCTTCATAATTTTTGCATCATTAGCAAACACGAAGAAAAACGAGTCTGTTCCCTCTGGGAGATCATTTATATATATTAGAAACAGTATAGGTGTCACCCAATACTTCACCCCTCACTGACTCGCTGTCTTCTTTTGCTTAAGAACTCCCTTATTCATTGGGGTGCTTTCCTTTTCATTCCTGCCTGCATCTCCAGCTTGTGCCCTTGTCTCTTATGTGGTATTATGTCAAAGACTTTCAGGCAGTTCAAAAATATGCAGTCTGTCCAGCAGTCTTTTGCATGATTTTTGTTGCCTGGTCACAGAATTCAATTAATCCTGTGAGGCATGATTTTCCACCCCTGAACTCATGCTGATGTTATGTTAAAGGTTCTTTCGTTACAGACGTTCCACTAGCTTTTTATACACATCATATTACATATTGTGCAAGTTAGGGACACTGGCCTGTAGTTCAGTGCTTACCGTTTATCACCCTTCTTGAATATCGGAACTACATTAAACGTCTTCCAAATTTTTGACAGTTCACCTGCTACCAGTGATTTGTTATACACGATGGAGAGTGCCAGGCACGGAGCTTTTGCTCTTTCATTCAGTATCCATGAACCCAACCACTTGGGCTGGACTGTAGAGCAACGGTCTCGCTTCATGCAGGCAGGCGTTCAATCCCCAACCGTCCA